GCGATCGCGACCTCAAGGCCAACGTCGTCCAACTTTAGGTCGTCGGTGCCTACCTTGACTCCAACCAACAACGGGGCCAAAGTCTTGCGGATCTTGGCCCTGTCCTCGAACAAGTGGAACAGCACTCCCGAACTTGTCACTCCCTTGTCGCGGAGGAACAACAGCACCTGCTTGTCGAGGGCGGACGCGACCGCCAAGTTCTCGAGCAGCGGCAAGCCCGTCGGAGCGGCCATGTTCTCTTTGAGGCGAACTTACGAAAAACTTGCTTGAACCCTCATGGGAGGAACCACGTGAGCTCATGACTGAGGCAAAGGAAAAGGGGGCACTCACTGACCGCCCAGACCCTTTGTGACTTTCTCACGAACTCTCGCTGACCGACTCTTCGGACTCCTCGCTGGCCTCGGATTGCCGGCGCGGTCCTTGAACAATAGCCTGCTCTCCACCGACGTCTGGGAAACACTTAGCGCATTTTGCGAACCCTGGAAGCACTTCCACGTGCCTCAAATGGTTGCTCGACCCATAAAACCATCGGTCGCACAAAGAGATCCAGTCGAAACTAGGAAGGGTTTGCTCGCACTCCGAGGGCTTGTGTGCGACCTTCGTCCTAGTATTGTGTACGAAGACTGCTCTGCTCTGCCAACTCTCTGCGACCACTCTCCGCACTATGGATTCCACGGCTGCCTGGTTGACGGCTTGGGCAGGCACCTGGGATGACGACGAAGACGGCTGCTCTCCTGTCAAGGCGTGGCGGACTTGGTCAGCTGTTTTTCCCGGAACAAAAACTGACTCCTGCACGTAACGCAGGATGGCAAGGGAACCCCAGCGACCAATCACTTGAATCACTGCCAAGTGTATCCCTGCTCTTGCGAAAAGCTGCGCTCCGGCAACTCGGAAGCAATGTTGCGACCATTTTTCGAGCATGGCCGAACTCCATTCCGAGAGGGATTCCTTCTGGAGTGCGAACGCGCACGCTCGTGCTAGCTGAGTAAGCTGCCTCTGTGTCGGTGGACACGAACCTCTGCCAAAGAGCGGACGCTCTGGGTCGTACGACCCCTGCAACCTTTGTCTCACGACCAAAGCGAGCAAGCTGTGGAAAACGCACAGTGGGTGGCGACCTCTTCGGCAGCTGCACTTCTGCAAGCGAGTAAACATCACTGCAGGCGAACACTTGTCCGCACAGTTGTGCTCGTGTACAGGCCGACAGACACAAACATGTTTCCGAAAACAACCTTTTCCTTCAAGATCTGTCTTGGACGCCGGCAGGCGCACAGTGATCGACCGCTCCTCTCTGTTAAACCGAATGTCGGCGCCCTTGACGTTAGCGACCTCTATGCCGCGGAGCAAGAACCAAGTAGCTGAGATCGACGTGGCTGCGGGCTCGTCGACCCGCAAAGGAAGGCTCACTTCGAGGTCGCTGTAGGCCTGAAGCAGCCGCTCCTCGAAATCATCCTGTATGTTGTCGAACATAAGATCGACCTTAGCAGCCGCCGGTCCCATGCCCCTCGTCATGGAGCGAATGGCCTGCCCACGGGCCAGGTCTAACTGCTGGCTCCAATCCCAGCCGCCCTCCACGTGTTTGGCCTTAGCGACTGAGAAGTACTGCGCAGCAGATCTATAACGACCGGCCTTCATTAACGAACCGATGCCGTTGATAAGCTCGACCGTCACAGGTAACGGGGGCAACTCTCGCTTCTTGGCCATAGCGGACCACGTCTGCCAACGACTCTCGCGCGGAGCCCTGGACGTTTTGGCGAACTTGTCCAACTCGAACTCACGATCCGCCTCGGACAAATCAAGCTCGACGACATTGTTGTTAGGTGTCCTAGCCAGGCCTATGCGTTGCAAGGACCCCCTGGCATAAGGATGCACCACCGGGATATCGCTGCGACCCGGTTTGCGAGCCTGCTGGCACTGCAACAACCTGTCCAGCGCAACATCTCCCATGATTTCCCGAAGCTGCGACCTAGGAACGTTTTCCAAGTCTCTTGCCGACTTGACTCCTTTCGCACTCAACTGGCCCAAAAACCCTGCGTTCTCGGTTGCTCTGAGAACTTCGACCAGACTTGCGAACAGGCTGCGATCCGACTCGCACGGAATATGCCACATGTTAGGAAAAGAAAGCGAACACACTTGAGGCGGCAGTACTGCCAAGCGCTGCGGCCGATTCCTTTCGACCCTGCTTGCCCTACGACTGGTGGCGCTCGAAACATGCAAACTTTCTACCAGCGGACCTGTTCTTTCATGGGCAGTACTGCCCAAGCTAAGAGCACAACGACCTGGTAGCGACTTCCCTTGCGCAACCCTTGCTCTCGTCAAACACATACGGACGCACACCACACTGCACGTACCTTCTGACTTTTCCTCGCGCTGCCGACTAGCTCGTCGCCGCAACTAACCACATCCTGAGGACGATCGGTCAGCCACGGCACCTGCATGCCTTTTCTTGCAAAACTCGGCGCACCGCGACCAGCCGCATCCTAAGGACGATCAGTTGGCCACGGCCTCTGGGCACCTCGTCTACTTGCAGAATTTCTCGCACTCCAGCTTCAAGGCGATCAGGCTGGGGAACTTGGCATCCGAGCAGTAGTCATTGGCAAAGTTCGCCATGGCAATGAACCACTTCAGCCAGGCACGCTGGGTGATCGGCTGCCCACCTGCAGCCTTCCAGTCCTTCAAGGGAAAGACCCCCAGGACTTTGCGAGACATGCCGGGGATAAGCTCGGTCAGGTGGGTCTGTGGGTGCACCGCCGTCTCAAGGATCTTCTCCCAGAGCTCCTCGTCTGTCAGCGTGGACAGCTTGAGCCAATCCGCCTTGGCCTGGGCAAAACGGTTCATGACCTCCGCCGGTAGCACTTCACTGACGAGCGCCTGCCACTCCTCGCCTACCAGGATCTCGATCATCATGCCTGGCCCGTCCGCGTAGGGTCGGTAGTTGGTGCCACACAATGCAGACGAACGCTCCGCAGCCAAGCGCAGGCTCGCCTCGTCGCCGTACTTGGTGACCAAAGCCGCGTGGTCATCGGGGAAGAACTTCTGGCAGGACGTCCAATCGCTGGCGCACTTGTGCTTCCCAATGTACCTCCACAAAGCACTGGCAAAGTAGCACCCACAGTCGTTCCTGGCGTGCAGGTAGAAGATGCGCATGATGTCACGCCCTTCCCCATCGGCCTGGTTCTCCCAGAAGCCCTTGTCGCAGTACGCCAAATACCCCGTGGGCCCAAGCAATCGCTTTCTGCGCTTTTCAGGCTGATCACTGCAGGTGACGAACGTGTCGGCGGGGGGCCTATCGTTGACGGACTCCAGCGCGGCCGTCGCCTCTTTCACCTGGTCCTCAAGAAGCTTTTTCTCGACGGACTGGGACTCCGTCAAGCTGCGGCCGGCCATCTTCATCACAAAGTCGTCCAGGGCCTTCTCCGCCTCCTCCAGACGGGCCTCCGCAGACTGGGCCAAATCCTCGCGCTCAGCCACAGCCGCCACCACCACACTGAAGTCCGAGAAGTACTGGAACACCGTGCTGGACATGAAGCCCCTGGCCAACGCCGTGTTGAGCTTCTTGTTGAAGAGCGACATCAGCTTGAGCTGCTTGGCCTTCTTGCGTTCCCCCAGGGTACGCCCTTCGAATCCTTCTCCTTCGGCTGCCTGCGCATTGATCTCAGTCAATGCCTCCTGGAAGACTTGCCCACGCGCCCGGTGCTTCTGGCGCTTCTGCTTCGCAATCTCTGCCTTCACCACCACGATCCACTCATCCTTCGTGCGGGCCTTCTCCTCGTCCTTGCCGGACTCCTGAATGTTCTTCATCCGCTGATTCACAATGCACAAGTAGCATCGCCACTCCGTCTCGGAGATCCGGCCGAACTCGGAGCGCACGTACTCCTGGTCGCATCCTTCGCACTGATACTGCTTCGGGGAGGCGGCCATACTACCGGAGGCGGGAGAAAAGCTGAAAATGCTGACCACACGCTCGGGCCTCTGATGCTGCAACTGTAAAAAGCGAAAGTGCGAGCTGAAGCGGACTGCAGTACGAACGAAACTGTGCACTACGTACTGCTTGTCACTCTTTGCACACGTGCAAAACACAACCACATCCCGTGACCGTGTAAACTCCCGAAGATCCACGCTGGTCGCGGTGGGGTGTAGTTGGAGGAGGGGTCGAGAATGTCGGGCCAACTGACGCCGCAATAGTCACATTCGGGGAGCACCTTTTTCCCACCCGTTTCGCAAGCGTTTACGGGGAAAAGGTCAGACATTACGACGGGCACATTTAGGGGGGTGGGTGGGGGGGGTTAATGATGATGTCCTGTCGTGCAATATGAACAAACACGCACCGACCCATGATTCATGACTGCTCTTTCATCCAAGGTCGGATGCCATAACCCCGAGTTCCTTAATGCACAGCCCCGCCCTATCCACGCGGCCATCCACCAAACCCAGCTCCACCAGTGTCAGTGCGGAACTGGCTGTCCGGCTCGCCATTGTGCAAGCGCCATGATATGTATGGTATGGTACACTGCAATACAGCATATCATATCTCTTGCGTAGACCCCGTGCACTGCAATTGCACCCACCACTTGAAGCCGTACAGACCCAAGAACCCGTCCAAGACCAGCCCGGAAGCCGAAATGCGCACGGCACCATGGCGGGAGGCACGGCCCTAGCCGTAGCCAACATGCACACCGACTGTGGCGGGGGCACGATTTTCCAAAACGTGCGCGGGACTGTGGTGGGAGCGGGACTTTTGGTGGCTTGGTATAGACGCCGGTGAACCCGCCATTTGTAACTACAAGAAGGACGGTTTCTGTGGAGATTTCCTTAAGGCCGCCACGTGTCATTTGCAACTACACAGGTTCTCCTTCAAACCTCCAAAACGTAGACGTAGGGAGTCACAATTGCGCAATTGACAGGAGTGCCGTCAAAACAACGCTACCTGGATGCTACCATCATCCCCAAAAGAGGCTGCTTAGGAATGGTTGCTCGGCTGGCTTAGCTTGCAACCAAGCAGCAACAACCCCTCTGACCAGCATCCTGGGGTTCTTACGCCTGCATCCTGACCGTAACAATATAAGTTACAGCACAAGTCGAAGTTCGAGGTCAACTCACTTATCTGATCTTATCTGCACAGTCCATCGCCTCATAGCACTTCCGCCACACTTCAAAGCTGATCATGTTTCCGGCCTTGCACAGAATGCCTAAACTGCGTTTTGCATCCCGCAAGTCATGCGACAACGTTCCTGCCTTGTTCGTTTGCATTGAACTATCGAGTGGGCGAAGAAAGGCAAGCATATCCTTAGCGCAAGCGGGCCATGCGGCGCCACTTCATGGCTGCACCCATGTGCTGCGTACGTGCGCACGAATTCAGTCCGAGAACTTCTATTCGGCTGGGAGTCCAGGCGTTTCCTTTTCTAGGTGAAGTGCAGCCATGTCCCACAAACCATTGTCTCCCCTCTGCAAAGGAGAGACGTACCCCAAAGGAGACGAATCTTCGGTTTTTGCAAGTGCCGAGAACATGAATTTTGGCACCGGCACTATCACCTCCTGCTCCAGCTCAGAGGAGTGTGCATGTGATCATCACTGCGCTGCATGTCTCTTGCTTTGCGCCCTGTGTCACTTGCTTGCTGCAGGCTCACAGATCCCCGCTACTCTTTACTGAGTCTTGCATCTTCCACGGATTCCACCTTGACCTTGATGCGATGCGCCAAGTGCCGGCCAAGTGGCAATCCACTTTGGGCACGTGGTCCCATCACGCCTCCCGAGCAATGTCACCTTCAGCACCACACATATTTGGCTGGTGTACGTTGGGCAGAGGGTCATTTAAACATGTGGTGGCAAGTGAAGAACTCTTGAGGAGCGGCGTGCCGTGCTCCATGCTCAATGGACGTCCGCACGTTTTCAAAGGCAAATGCGCCAGCTCCTGTGTGCATCTGCAAGGCAGGGAATTCCTGAAAATATTCGCCGGAACTCGCCGGACAAACCTACCGTTTAGGACCCTCGCCGATAACCAGAACACGCTTGTTCCAAAAGTCAATGTCTTTGGGCTCATTGCCATAACCTTACCATGGCCCAAATCGACAACGGCAATGTCACAACAAAATCAATGAAACATACGATGCTTTCAAGCACACGTAACGAAGTTAAGCGACCATAGCAGATGATGCCCTTGAACTTCTCAGAGTCCTGCCAGGGGTCTATACTGCAGAGTCTCGCGTCTCGCAGGCACTCAAATTCTGCACCTGAATCCCACCTCTCACTGTGCTACCGTGGTCCTGCCAGTCCACGATGCGGCGCTTACCAATGCGCCGGTTGACTTGGAAGCTAACCTTACTACTAAAAACACCAAGCGAAAACCACATGAAGTTTGCTACAGCGACGGTACGACTAACTGACTAACTTTTGACAGAGCCGCGGACTTTGCCTTTACGAGATGCTGTGTGCCATCAGCCAGAGATGTCACCTAAGTTAAGCAAATCTAGGCCACGTCGGGTCGGCTTACAATGCGATCCAGCTGCGTGCACTAGGTATGTTCCATCCAACTGCTTTTCGACCTGACACAAAAAGGCTCTTTGCGGGCGCTCTCCACATGACAATGGCTGGGCCTTGGTAACATCCGTTTTGCAGCGGATCTTCCCGTAGGCGTGGTTGCCTCAACAAAAGTGTGGGCCAAGCGGCGGCGAGGCTACCGGACACTGCACTCAACTCACGATATTTCGTGCTGGCAGGATCGCCTGCGATCTCATAGATGTCGCGCATGATGTCTCTCCGTGGAGTGTGGTCCTCATTCGGTCGCGTCCACGTGCCCTTTTTGTCCAGAACGCGATATCCGATTCTTGGCTGATGGCAGGCTGCTGTCTCGATCCGTCTAGACATCTGGATGCTTGGCGGTCATGTGGCGCTTGTGCGAACAAGTTCAGTCGAGCTTCTCCGACGTGTTAACCCGAGAATATTCATTACCATAGAACTCCCAGACACCACCAATCATGTGATATCTGTCGAAGATTACCATGGACTTGCCCTGCTCATTCATTACTTTGGCCTGATAAATGCCTAGGCTCAGGCAAGAACAACTGACCCTGTAACTACCAAGCGCACACATGTGCATCACTCAGCCTCTTGCCGGCAATTCCTGCGCCGACAATCACGCAGTCCACCTGTTCGGGAATTGGTCCTTCCAAAGGTCCAATGTCCGGATACTCCGCATCCTTCCAGCGACTGAACTCGCAGCACATCCTCAAATCATGAGCACAAGTGCAAGCACCATGAGCCAAGAGTGTTGGCCAAAGAACCCACTCGGCGACTATCATGAAAATCGACAACAGGGGTCCTGCTAATCGTGCTCAAAAGAGCTGGATCGGGATTTAGCGCTGGCCCCAAGCCGTCCAAATACCAGTCTTGCTCCTTTGCGCAGGACAACACCAAGATCGTGCCTTGTGGTTTGTTGAACGCTGGACACGTTGACTTCCTCTGAAAGGCTAGCTTTCGTGATATGTATGACATAGCCTAAATGGCTCCTCGCATTCGCCCAAGTCAATGTGGCTGAAACCACCTTCTTGGCTGTAGTCGGCCCAGGCCTTTTGCCGACGCACCCTCGTAACAACTGAACCGTGGGAAGCAGCTGTTCGCAAACTGCAGGGTGCTCTTCAAATCCCAACCTGAACTGACGTCGTGTCGAACAAGCTCTTCCCTGCGTGATAGCAGGCAGCCACGGGCACCAGAAGTCTCCGGCTGTTCCGGTGGCTGAACCTCCATCCAGCAACCCGCTGGCAGAGACAGCAAGTTCCCACAGCAGAGACATGAATGGGTCCCTCAAGCTTGGTCATCATTGAGTCACAACCGTCTTGTTAAGAACGTCAAATATTGTCATGCTGCCCGTTTGATGGTTTAAGCAACCACCAGTCGCGAGCCATTATAATGGTGTTGTTTAAAAAACAATGCTCCACAGCAATTCTTCCGCGTTGTCCTAGGTAAGACTTATTATGTGCTTGGGCATTGAGGGTTACGTTGTGCCTCCCGTACGCAACTGATACTTGCACATGGCTGAATGGACCAGAACAACTGGTGTCAAGCTAAGACGCGCTGGTGTGGACTGGAGAGAGAGAGAGAGAGAGAAAGAGAGAAAGAGAGAAAGAGAGAAAGAGAGAAAGAGAGAAAGAGAGAAAGAGAGAAAGAGAGAAAGAGAGAAAGAGAGAAAGAGAGAAAGAGAGAAAGAGAGAAAGAGAGAAAGAGAGAAAGAGAGAAAGAGAGAAAGAGAGAAGAGAAAGAGAGAAAGAGAGAAAGAGAGAAAGAGAGAAAGAGAGAAAGAGAGAAAGAGAGAAAGAGAGAAAGAGAGAAAGAGAGAAAGAGAGAAAGAGAGAAAGAAACAAAGGAAGAATGCTAGCGTGGGGCCATGCCTGTACGACTTCATCATCGCCACAACCTGTGGAGAGAATGGGTTCGACTAGACTGCACAAAGTGTCACCTGCGAGGACCAACCTAACCTCCAAAGCATACAAAAGAGAATGCAAGTAGCAGCATCATTGGTGCTACAAAGATTGAGCTTCGTAGCCAACACTCGCATGCTCCCCAAGAGGCTAGATTCGGCACAAGGACTGAAGCCAACCATTTCACCGGACCAGTGCTTAAAGTGAGCCAGCCGGACTGGGAATGGGACATGGGATATTGGAAAGGGAGGGAGATGGGAGAAAGACTAGGTGCAAGGAACGGACACCTCCGGGCGATCCAGAGCATTCACAATGTTCACATCGTGTTCATGAGCGGGAGAGAAAGGGAGACCCCTGAAGCCAAAACTGTGCTGATGACCTGAAAACTTGGGAAAACTTGGGCGATTTGGCTTGCGAAGACTGTAGCTGCTTGAAGGGTAGGGCCAAGCACGGGGGCAGTTGCGACACTGCTGGGAATCAGGTTGGGAATTTGAGTGGGATTGGGGGGCAACCTCGAAAACGGGGGGGGCCCTTCCATGAAGCTGACAAGGTGGGGCATTCACGAGGCTCTCATGACTCTTGCCCGAAGTTGTCGTGAACATGTGTGCCTCCTCAATTTCTCGCTGCCTTTCGGCGGAATATTGGGACACCTGCCCAGACCAGCTTTCGTGATCGTACCTGCAACTGTCGGTGCAATCAGGTAGATGACTGTTGACTCTTTTGACATTGTTCTGAGACTCGCACGGCCGGTACGCGTCAGTAAACAAGTGTGGTGCAGGACAATCGGAAACGACCTGAGAAGAGCAAGTTTGGTGGGCACTACGAAAAACCCTGTTCAGAGAGAGGCTCTGGGTGACAAGTTGACAGCTGGCAAGCATTGGCAAGCTTACCACCCAGCCGGACCCAGCCCATGATGGGCTGTCTTGTGTTCTTTCGCACGTGTTCGGGACTTTGGACTGACACACAACTGAGAGACTAATGAGACTGAAACTAAAGCGCCGAACTTCCACAGACACCGAACGTCTGCAAACCCTAGACACACTAGGACGCCTTGGCCAATAGGAATGCCACAGCAAGGCGGAATGCAGAAGGCAAGGATAGTACCAATTGCCTGCTTCGCGATGTCTGGGACAAGTTGTTCCCGAGAAAATGCAAATGCAGAAAATGCAGTCATTCTTTGCTCGAGCACTGACAACTACTTATCGGGCATCATTTGCTTCCGAAGGCCCGTCTTTTGAAGACCCCAGCAGTAGGCTGCGCCCGCGCTGCCGTAACAGCACCGTCCCTCAAGGTTGGTCTGGCCCAGGGCCCATGGCTGGGCCATGGATGGCGGTGCTGTTGATGATCATGGCCTCGGCACCTGTGACCCCGTGGTCTCCTGCAAGGCACCGAAGCACAGCTGTTCGTCGAGGCATGCCTTACGCTAAATCCTGGCGGCAACGTTCCTGTTTGCGGCATCGTTGACAAAACTGTTAAGGGTCACTTGCCTGTAGAGCTGGCAAAGTGAGTGGCGTGAAGGATCGGCGACTCGCGCTTCGTTACTGGCACCGTCGAGGGCGACGCTGGTGGAGCAGAAGCTGGCACAGCGGTCACGCTTCATGCATCTCTGACGGCACTGTCCAGGGCGACATCTTCGACAAAGCCGCTGGGGTCGATGAAGGCAGTGTGACATCACTATACCCGCAACATCCCGCAACAATGCTAGTGGATGGTGTAACCATTGGCGCATCGGGCAGTGCTACCCTGCGCTACCCGCCCATGAGTGTTTCGGCTTGCTAGCCTTCTGAAGGCGTAAGTTGCTCGTGCTAGGGGCTTCGGGCGCCGAATCGCTTCACTGTGGCAGGACTGCGCCGCTGGTCGCATACCTTAATTTAGCCATTCGGTGAATGGAACCTGGCGGCGGCAAGAGCACGGAATAGCCGACGGAGCAGATCTCTCAGCCATATGCCTAGTGACGATGGTGTGGTCAGTCCTGGCAGTTTTGCCAGTTTTCGCCTCCGGCTGCTCTCTTGGTTGGACGATCTTGGTGACTCAGGCTACGTCCTGCTGCTCGTCGCTCGTTTCTCATCGTTCGTCGTCCGTTCTCTGAGAGCCTTCGGGCTGTTGCTGCGGTTGTAGTCCTATAACAGGTCTTGGAGTCTCTAGTTTGCCCAAACTCCCCCGACCAACTATGCGAACAGCAAGTCTTCACTGCAAGGCTCTTGTGGCTATAGGGTTTAGGGCCTTAGGGCTCGAGGCGCCGACCAATGCGACAGGCAGGTTTGGAGTCTGAATTTGTTGGATCTCCTGAGAAGGCCATCGCATGCTGCAAGGATGAGTGCCCGCTTGCGTACTGCAAGTCATGCTGAGGAGCACTTTTGTCTTGTGTCGTCAAGCAACTAGCAGCTTGAGCAGTTCATAGGCAACAATGGCGCCCATACCTCGCCGGCAGACAAGATTGCAGCAGTTGTGTTGTACCGATAAGCTTCGCGGGAGTGGCAGTCCTTGCCCAAACCAGACAGTGTTTACACCATCTGCGAAGGAGAGAACCTAAGCGAAAGCACGACTGATTCACAAGAAAACGAGCGGCTGAACGCACGCGGGCCTTCTCCAGCACCTGCTTGATCATCACATCGAAGTTTGACCAACCTTTCCAACATACCTGGAGTTGCAAAGTAGAAAGGCTGGCACCCCCCCCAAGCAACCACAACGCTGTAGCCGATGCCAAAATCAAAATGGACAACAATACTGATTCTTAGGGTTCGTATGACACCCTACGAGTAGCTGCCGGCATTCTCTCACGCATGGCGGGACCGGCCTACAGGTGCGATATTACATCGTATCCCGAAGGAACTGCAAGAGAGGTGCCACGGACAGATCGACTTGATCATCTGGTTCTATGAAACTCCACGTGTCCTGGGCCACATCCCACCCCATCAATGCGCATGAGATGCCACGTGCATCCCTTCTATCGTGCTAACTAGTGCTAATTAATCAGTGCCATGTAGTTCCACAGCAAAGGAGCCACGTCGAAGGAGCGGTCGCTTCCGAACTCGGGCGCGAAAAGCAGGACACGATGTTCAGGAGGAAAGTGAGGCGGGCAGTTGAGCTGACTGGTGACCTGGCAAGGTTGCGGCAAGCTTGTGAAAGCAGTCCGCGATGCCGACTGCGCACCTCGCAATCGATCCCGCGCCGGCGAGCCTCCCTCGGAGGAACGGCAATGGAAACAGAAGGTCACTTCGTGGAACTGACCGAAACTGCACCGAGGCTATTGACCTGGTGGCCTCTGACCTTTCTTTTCCAGACCATGTTGTCAAGTTGAAGGATCTAGGGTCCTACCCATAAGCCATAAGCCCTAGCAAAATGGAAAGGCATGTTCAGTCGTGACACGTCGACGGCGCGTCAGGTCGACTCCCGCCGACCCACTCACCCTCCACTTTGATCATCTGTCTCGTGGCATCTCCTCAATTCACCGATCACACTATCACAAGCAAGCGAAGAAAGCTTTGTACGGGCTTTGGGGCATCATGTACAGTCTTGTTGTGTGCGTTTCGATTTTCATATGTGCAGACGACGCGCGGAAGGGATAAGGAAATGCCTGCCAGACATTGCAGGCGATGATGATGACATACTTGTGATGAACCCGATTTGGCACTTGGCCCATCTACTGCGCGTGCTAAGGCTAAGGCAACTCAGGAAGACCAATCTGGCACCGAAGGTTCTCTATTAACTTCATTCAACCTGCGCGCGCCGGCCGGCGCGCGCAAGGTTTTAGTTCAGGCGTCACGCAGCACACTGCCTGGTTTTTCAGGCGTTGGTCCCGCAGCATGACAACATGCTCAGGGGGCCGACACGAAACAAATACCAAGCAAGAAACCATTTTTGATTCGCAAGGCTTCATTGGGAAGCATTCCTGAAAGTGGAATCCATGAGTCAGAGAAGCAGAGCAAGAAGAGGCAATCAAATGAAGAGGCGGAGCAGGCAGAAGCTATCCACATAGTCAGCAATTGCCTTGGCAAGCTGGTGCTGCAAAGTTTCTTCCACCAGCTCATACATCGGATATTGGCGAAACCTTTACTACTTCTTTTTCTTTGACATCCTGCAAGACTTACTTTTCAAATCTGTTGGACAACATCCTATCGAAGTCTAAGTTCACTCAAACAGGTGCTCCCCTAATTGGTTGCATAGTGCCATGCCCGGGAACCCGAGGCCTGCCTTGTCTCGATTGGTGGCCCATGGCCTCGAGCGGCACAGCCGATCGAGGGCGTACCTCCGCTGGTGCGGCTTGGAAGCTTCGTGCACATTTACACCATTTACACCTCAAAACCATGTCTGCGCATGAGGGAGGCCACCACTCCCGTTCATTCTCGTCAAGCCAGCGGTCTGCGGTGAACCTCTCTTTGCACCAGACCCTGCGCCGAGATGCGAATACCCAAAAGCCAAGCCAAGCAGCATGTCACTTTTCGAATCCGAGCCCCGTAGCCCCCACTTCGCTCTAGCAGCCCTAGCGACTTAGCAGACTTAGCACTCCTTGGATCTGAAAACGATCGTTCAATGCTTGCAGCATTGTAGCGCTTGGGCAGACCGTTGACGGATGCGAGTGCCTTCCCCATCCCACCCGCCAACTCAGTTCGCCCATACTGCCGTGTCCATGGTCTCTGCCCCATCTTTATCGCTCAAGCTTCCGGATTTCAAGAGTTCGCCGCGGGGTTGCTTCTTGTTTCGGGATAGTTTCTCCATCTCGTCCTGCAACCTCGGCACCCGCAGGGCCATCACCGGGATTGTGCCCCTACGGCAAGCGGCAGGGCCTACAGCATAGCCCATGGCCGACCGCAGAGTTGGGCACCTTTAAACCCAAGACCTACAGAAAGGCTTCGTGCGCAATTTCCAGGTTGGGCACCTCGAAGGCACAAACAAACACTGTTTGCATCAGCATCAGCACGTACCCGAGATGGCCCGAGGGGAGTGTCGACCCGGTTCTGAGGCCACTTCGGCCACCATCCCACACGTCATAGAACTTTACAGCAGACTTCTTTGGATGCTGCACGGGACAAACCTACTCTTGGATCCGGGGCCGGATTGAAGCTCATACTAATCCTGGTTTGCAGGCACTGCGTTCCTTTATGCTCGCTCCACAAGGTACGGCAGCGGAGACTAGCATCAGCAAGGTAAGGCATTCCCTCCCAAAAAGGGCAGACAATGAGCGTGGTGGGAGGGGCGTGCCGAGTGTCATGTCGAAGCATGTGGCGATCGCCACAGGGAAGGGCAGTTGCTGGGATTGTAGGCCACTATGATCAGGTCTCAGTCGCTAGCGACTTCTAACATTGGCCCGACGGCGTCATGCAGATTGATCCCGAGCCTCATGCGCCCTGCCGTCTCTTGAATCAGCTTTGTGCGCCTTGAGAGCCAGGTGGAAGGTGTTCAACATAAATTGGGACACGCAGCACCAATCAGCTGAGACTTACAACAACGCAGTTTCACTGAACCATTGATAGGTTCCACTCCATCCATTCCTGTCTGGCAAGGAGCTGAATCAAAGCCTTCATGGCCTTGACAACCTCTGGCTCGTGCGAGCCTTGCATGCCATGCAAATAGTCAATCCGTGGTACAATGTGGTACACCTCACCTCTGCTACACGCTCAAAGGGCCTTCCGTCATCTTTCCGACTCAAGGACGTCCACAGGATGGCTTACTCATTCCCCCCTACGGCATGCTGTTCGCTCTATGGGCCAACACACAGCGGGGTATCCATGTGCAAGCAAATTCACCTCAGGCACAGCAACTGACTACGCGGAACATCCTTCAGATGGTACTTCCAGAAATTGCTCCACCACAAGCTCCAGGAATCCCAGGTTGCCCAGGGAGCACCCAGCTGCCCGAAAAAGACAGCATCGCAAATGTACACCTTTCATTCAAAAAACGAAGCCAAAGCACGCACGCAAAATCATACAAAAAACGCCCAAGGGCGAAACAAGAAGAAGCCCGTCCACTACCAGACCTGAAGCAGGCTCCGCGCTTGGGAGGGCTAACCAACAAGCAAGTCTGGGAAGCAGACGCAGCCACATTTCTAGATGAAAATCCTGCATTCATGCATGGTAATGCGAAGATTGCATGGGCGGTCTCGGAATGAATACGGGGCACTGCGAGGGAAGCGGAGTGCAAGGGGGCATCTGGCCTTCCAAAGCCGCTCCAATGCTGCAATCTTCACCATCCAGTTCGCAGGGTTGTAGGCAGAGAAGGACTGAGCTCAAGCTAAGCTCAAGCTGAGCTCAAGCAGCAAGTCAGCAAGGGCTAGAAAAACAGAGTAAGGCGCCGACGGCCAGTTCACAGGGGATGCTCGGCAAGTACACTAAGAAACACAGAGTTGCGATCAGGACCTCAGCGCACTGGCGGTCACCAGCACGTTTCGAAGAAGTACGCTTGGTAAGATCTTGGCGCAAACGCTTCCGAATGAAAGGACCTCTGCTTTATCCACGGCATCCTCAACCTGCAAAAGACGTTTTGAAGCTCCATGGCTGCAGAATGACTCTGACCTGATTGCTTTCTCACAGCTTTTGCTTCTCAGGTTCGTTCCAGGTGGTCGGCCACTGACCAGCGCTCAGTCTGATGAAGACCTCTGCTGTCCACAGTGTGAACTCGATATGCTCAGCCTCCTCACTGACCACTCCCTCAACAAACAAACCTCCGAGTGGAGATCATAACGACAGCCCTGCTGAGCTCTCGCCGCCCTAAGTGCCTCCCCACTTGGTTCAAGTAGCAAGTAGTCCTAGAGAGATATATAAGCAGAGAGCCGCACGACGGCCACGCCCATCAACGCATCTGACGCCCACTGGGCACTGAGAGCAGGCAGGAGCCGCTCTGCAAGGTGCTGAATGGAAAAAGGGCAACTTTTGCATGTGATTTTGCATTTTGTCTCACTTCAAAGTCAGCTTCTTTATACAGTACGAGAGCAGAAACAGAGTCCTCGTTGCCAGGTTCTCAACACCTCACCTCCCCTTCATATCACCTCCTCCACGCAACACCCAGGTCCTCTGCGAGAAGATGATGGCACGGAGCATATGCACGCGATGTACTGGAATGGTTGGACTTGGGTTCCTTCCTAAACTCAGATGCATACTCATCCAGCCCCATCTTCAGCAAGGATAACGTTGGATCGGGGCGGTTGTTGTTAATCGAAGATGGACATTGGCGCGCCATGGGGCACCTCGTAGTTCTCAATGCAAAACCACGCCACAACCAAAAGCGAACTTCACCTCGTGAGCGAGGGCGATTCCAGATGATTCCACTGCTTCTCCACAGGTGGCCCGGAGAATTCATCCGCTCGGCACCTTTGCCTGCCACGGGAACTTTCCTTGGGCCCTTGCAGGCCGTCTCGGCTCATGCCATGTAAGCTCGCGCTATCCCACCCCGCAACCGGCAACCGATATGGCGACCCAGCAAAGCTTCGCAGGGCTTTGTGGGCTGCAACCGAATAGAGGCCCAGCTCCTCCAGCTTTTGTTGACTCCAAATCTTTCTGGATCATTGCCCTTGCGCAGCCATGCGGCTTTGGCCGGGCACAGTAGCGCTTCAGCACATGTCTCCCTTTGGCACCGCATCCATCCGGAAAGAACTCGACTCCGGATCATAGGGATTTGCACGACTCGGCTCAATCCCTGAGGGAAAACTGACACCGCGTGACTGCTCTCCTCGTGTCCTCGGCCCTGTGACAGCCAGGCACAATTCATGGCCATGTTTCCTCTCCCCTCGTGCGGCTCGTGCGCGCGCATTCGAAGGAAGATGAAGGAAGCTGTCTGGAGTCTCGAGGGCTTGCCTCCAGCTGCTTTGCAGCCCCCAGGTCTGAGAGCCCTGCATGGTTCAAGCTCCGCCTGTGATGCCGGAACCTTGAAAAAGGCAAGCAAAACTGATCAAAACTGCAGCAAGCATCAGTGTGCGACAGAGTTGTGTTGGGATCCCTCAGTTTCGGGCCCACAGCGCGACACCTGCTATCTGAAATGCTGCAGCCCATGCAACCTGGCAGCCAAACGGTCCTTTGGTGCATTTGTCTAACTGCTTCGACTTCGCCGATCTTGGTGCCATGCCCTCCAAAAGTTTATCTGCCCAATGTTGTACCTTAGGGAAAAACTTGGGACAGCTATGCCCTCATGATGCCTCCTTAAACCATCTTGAACCTGAGCTGCCACAAACACGCTGGTTTCAGGCTCTCACGCGGACCGATCCATCAGCCTCTTCGCAGTATCACCTGCCAAAACATGTCCAAGCGCATCATCCCAAAACATGGAGCCACACCAGTTCGGACTTGGCATCAGACGCATGTCGCCAGAGAAAGCCATCAGACCATCTGCCTGCCAAGCGCGGGGCTCCACCATGGGCTGGTGGCTGTGTCGAATTCATCATGCGATCAGCACTAGTTTCAGGAACAGCTTCGCCTCCTCGCCAGTCTGCACCTTGATGCTGACATGATGATAAGACCAGCCGAGAGAACAAACGCGATGGCTGCAAGAATGCCAACAGACGATGCACAGGGCTACAGTAGACATCGGTCGACCACCATAACGTTTCACATCGTTTCAAAGTGCTCCAACCGCATCTGGAAGCGTGACGCTACCCACCACTTCTGGCCGTCCCGTTCAAAAAGGACAGATTCCATAAGTGCTCAAGCGTGGTACCACAAAGCTTTCCAACTGAGACTGGACACAAACGCTCAGGCAAGCACTGGATCCATCAAGGGTGTTGCTTCGCTAGATTGACCTGAAAACCCGTGTGACATCGGGATTGGGCCGAGAACTGAACTGATGCCTTACTTTGCTGCTACTGTATGGCGCAGCTTCTGCTGGCAGAAGCTACAACCGAATACAGTCAACCATTAGAAGCAGGGCAGCTGAAAGTCGCTGAAAGACTCGCTTCGGTAACCAGCCCCAGGGAAAGTCCAAAGTTGAGGATGCCACTCATCGCGGCTACGGCCATGGAGGACGATGCTGGCGTCGCCGCCAGAGTCTGAAGCCTGAAGTTAAGCACATGGTTATTGATTGGGCTGGCGAAATTCAACATGAGCGTCGTACCTTTCTTTAGCTGCCTGGCGGGAATGAAGCCGTACGCCCACGGCCTCACAAACAGGCCACGAATGTGGATTAGCAGCCAGCCTGGCCAGCAACGCAATGGCCAGACAAAATTGCTGCAACATGCATCCGCACAGAGCAAGAGCAATGAGTCCAGCGACCAATTCATCTGCGTGATCCTTCAACTCCATGACCTGACAGCTTCCGAAGCTTCGCAGTTCTGTTTGGTCTTGGGAAGGAGTGCCTGCTCGTACAAGAACCTCGTTGTGTAAGTTCTGGCTTCCCGCATGGTTCTGGGACCGAGCACGATGGATCCATGTCTGACAAGGGGCCGAACTGTCCTGAACTTTCCAGCCCTGTCATGCTCGCACGCTGCGCTTTCAAAAATAGTTTCCGGCTCGGAAGAGTGGCCTTCAATGAGTTTCAAATGTTTCAATGAACTTTAGTGCTCTCCCCCGCGGTCATCTAAGTCTGAGTTGGAAGAGTGAAAACCGAGAACCTATGAGGATCTGTGAGAACGCTAAGGCTTGCCGTTAAGGCCGAAGAGCTCTGCAGCACGACACTCCGTCACATTTTTGGCATCATGAAGGCAAACAGCAGAATTTCAGACCTTTTGCGACACTTGGTGGAGGACAAGACAGTAGGGTGTGGTGATGGAGTGGGACACTGAACCATGCGACCCAACAGCTTCAAAAGAGTGCGGAAATTGCCGGGCCACGCTCTGCAAACACATGCTCACGCAGCTTGCGTCCTGCTCCGTCTGAGCTACGCGCAGCGTTGCTCCATATCCAAGGCTTGCTGATGCCTGAGGTCTTCCAAAAGCACTCGGTCGGCTGACTGGCAAGCTGGACGGATGCGGACGGCTTGGGCCGTTAGCAGAGCAAAATCCAAGCTCAAGCTTGGCCAGCAGCTACACAGGATAATCTGAAACATGCTTGGTCCGCAGCGAAGAATAACGTCCTTGGAAGGGTTGTGTACTTCGCTCCAAAACTGCCTGCTCTGCTACCTGTCTACACTGTGTGTGCAACACTCTTGACTGCTGTTCCCTGACACAAACGTGGGTTGAGGACTCTCGCCAACGCACAAAGGGCTTTGGCTCATTGAAGTCGGACTGCAAGTGTACTCTCGGACTCGGGCCATACCAAAAAAACCTTTGGCGGGATAATCTTGCACCGCTCGCAACTTGAAGAGCTCGCCTCAGACGTTGCAAATGGAACCCCGTGTTTCTTACTTTTGGAGTATGCGGCAAAGCCAAACACACGCACACACACACACACACACACACACACACACACACACACACACACACACACACACACACACACACACACACACACACACACACGCACGCACGCACGCACGCACGCACGCACGCACGCACGCACGCACGCACACACACACACACACACACACACACACACACACTTTTCCCGTCAGATGCCATCACACTCAGATACCCGGTAGCAGCTAGCTTCTTCTTCGCTACCCAAACCTTGCCGGATGTTATTACATCCGAGGGCAGGCCATTACGCCGGGAAACTTGGCTTTGAAGACAGCCTCTCCTAGCTCAACATCCTCACGCTATCTGATGCCGGAGGATGACACCCTTTGCGGCAATCCCTGCTGCCGCCGTCACTGTCCTTTCCTAGTCGATGACCACCATCGGCCGTCGAAAACTGGCTGAGACGACATCTCTCTCTCTCTCTCTCTGCCGCGCCATCCCCGAGGGTCTTGCTGAGACGACATGCTGGCACAGATTTCAATGGCATCTACGCTGCACGTCGATAAATTTCGACTGCTCCTTTCAGCTCAAACATCAAACTTCATTACCAAGCGCTCGGGGACAAACAGCAGACTGGCACGGACCCGGTTGCTGGTGCCTGCTCGACCTTCTGAATTCAAAGCGAAAGGCTCAGTGAAAGGGAGAGCACCATCCCCACATCGTCCTGAAGAGCTATCTTTGTCGTTGGCACGTCCAAACCATCCTCATTAGCCACGTGGGCAAGTTTAAGAGATGAGGCGAGGAGCCGAGGAAATCGAAAGTGAAGCTTTCAGTTGCACCACCAAAGTTAAAGCACGCAATCGAACTCCCCCATCAGGAGGGATTTAAGTCTTCTGCACCGCGGCAGACTTGAAGACCAAGGGAGCTTGGGTAACCGCAGCGTTTCCAAGACTTGACCTACTGACATTGCTACTCTGATCTACTCTGCAATGAGGTGGTTCTGTCATGAATCCGGAGATGATACCAGAAAGCCTGACTTCGAGGTGAACACGACGGTACCAATGAACACAACCTATAGTAAGGACTCGAGAGTGAGGAATGGTCATGAAAGGTCTTAATGTTGGCTTCTTTGCTTCTAGACCGTGTGAATTAGAATAACGTGTGTTCACGGTGCTCTCTTCATTCTATTAATGAACCGTGAGAATAATGGAATAAAGTAGTGAGTCAAGTACATGCGCGAACGAAAGTTGCAAGTGCACGAAATGAATGCACGAAAAAGACTCAATTTCTTGTTCTATTTTGTTCGTAAGGTTCCCCGTTCGCAGGCTCACCATATAAAGGTCTTTCACTCCGTTCTTACAATTAATATTAACACGCGCTCTCATAACATTTTGTGTATTTACTGCTCCCTTCGTAGTAATTTTTAATAGAGGTGAAACGATAGAACGCAAAGTACTTAATACTTTACTCCGTTCGGTTCTTTCATGCACTTCATGCATCTGTTCGCTCACTCGCTCCCTTATAAATGCATTCACCTACTCTCCTCACTTAGTATATTATAAGGGTCTGAGGAAAGAGCGCACGGGCCAGTAATAATACTACTAGCGTGCGTTATGTTCATGCCTTACAAAATAGTACGATTAAAGCTCCTGTTATACTATCATTCAAGGGGCCAATATAAAGATTACTAAAAGGCCCCGGCAAAAGTTAATAAAAATGGCTGCGGAATGCTGTCATCGATCATCACATCCCACATAGATGCAGCATTTGTGAAGAGCTATGAAGAGCTGATGTCGGCCTACAGGCTGACGCTGCCCTCTGTAAGCTGCGTGCCAAGCCCGAAGAGGGTGGCACCCAACATGAACAACCTTCGAACGTGCTGGTGCTTGCTGCAGTCAGAGCTGGTAGGTCATAAGGTCATGACATCAGATTGCGCAGTCCGAAGAACTCACCGGCCACCCTGTCACGATGTCTGTCGGCTTAGGTTTCTGAAAAGTGGTTTGCACAAAATGAGCCGGCGATGCACAAGGAGGTCACTCTGCATCCTGAGGAGTGGCGCGCAGGCAACGCATGCGGCCGGACCAAGCCTCTGTCTGCCCCAAGCTGCCGACAAAGCCAGGCACCTGACGGCGGCACTCAGAGTGCACTCAAGCTTATTCTGCATTCCTTGTCCTGTAGGAGTCCTTGAGCCTTGGAAAGCTCTTGCTTTGAGCCCAAACTTTGCGCCTGCTGAGATCCACGTCTTCCTTGTCCAATGTGCCAGGTCTCCTGAGCGCTATCGCGGCAGGAAGCGAAGTAGACGGGCCGTTGTGTTAGGCCGTTGTGAGGCTTGATTCCGCTTGAGTTACGTGTTGATTACGTTAAGGTTACGTGTAAGTTTACGTGCTTTCATTAAGCTCCGAGCGCGAGGATCACAGCACCTTCCTCCACCGGTTTCCCAGAGAGCGTCGCCAGGGCCTTGAAGCCGGCAGCTGAACAGAGCAAACTTTCAAAAGAAGAAGGAACAATCATAAGAATGAGGCAAAGGAAGCACCACAAGAGCGAAAAGAGTGAAAATCAAATATGCTTGATATGCGTGTTGAGCGAGCGAGAAACAAAGGCGAAGTGTTTTGCAGACTCTGTCGCAGTTGTGTGCCACAGTTGTGTGCAGCATCCGTGCAATCAAGTGCTGAGTTCAGCGCTCGCTTGAAGCTTTTCAGAGTGCACAGTTGGGGATGCTGGGATACACTCAGTTTCTATGAGAGGGAGTGAGGCGAGGGCATAGTCATCTCGCATACGCCGCCCAAAATCCAGTAGGAGCAGCCTTAACATGGCGATACGCAGGGCGGCAGGAAAGAAGAGCCAAATCACGGTACGATGCCAAACTTGCTCTTGGACAGCCGCACACCCACCGCAAAGGATCCCAAGCACCCGTGCCAAACCTCAGAGGATCCATGCGCTTCTGGATAGAAAACAACTGGCGAAGCTTTTCGAAGCTTCACAGCCCTTTGAGCCCTGTGCCGCACAGACCCGCTCCAGGTATCCGTAGATGCCTAAAGCGACCATGGCAAGCGGCAGCAATTGCAGATGCAAAGACATTTGCTCACGACCCTCATCGGCCCTCGCAGCCTCGCCGCTCGGACTCTGGAACTGCACCCGTCAGCCTGCACATCCGCGTATAAAGCCACAGTGGCCCACTGTAGACTCTTGACTGCAGCATCTCCGAGAGGCCGAGGTGGGAGCACTCTGGGCACAGCATGCCTCAGCACAGGGCCCAATGTCGCCAATCCCTTGAGGCATGCCCTCTCCTTGACCCCTTGACTGAATCCAGAATGCTTGGAGGTTCATGGTACTTAATACCCAATTGCAACTGTACTTATAACGGCGATTATGACCACATTTGGGTCACTTAAGGGGCTTATAAGTGGGTTCTAAGTACAGTTACCATTGGTTAATAAGTACCATTAACCTCCAGGTATAGAGCCTTTCCACAGCATCGCGCTCCAAGTCGTGCCGTGAGCCTGCTACAGCAGGCCCTCCACATGCAGCATTGAATGAGCCGTTCGCAAATATCGCGCCATTCTGGACCGCACTTCGTGCAGGGGCACTATTGTGAAAAAGTGCGCTGCGGTGAGAAGCCGAACGTGCCGATGTGAAACATCCGGGTATCTTTGTCTGACCTCTTCCCAATATGCAGCCCTCAACGCATCGAACGTCTCAGAAGCAGATTCATCGAGAGCTTGGTCCAGCAACATGAAGTCGTAGCCACACAAGCTCTGAAACACCTTGCTCAAGTCGTAGTGTATGTCGCCCTGCGTTGTTGTCCATTTTCCCAGCTGCCCGCGCATATCGATCATTACAATTTTGTCATCACTGGTGCGCAGTATGTTGGAGAAAACTGGATCGCCGTGAATGTAGAATGCATGCTGTGCTTTTTCTGACGCCTCAAACTCCTCCAAAAATCCAACCAAAACATCCGCCATGGTACGAACATTTATGCCCAACTCATCTGCCAGGGAATCATACAAGCTGATGTTTTCCATGGCTCTTCTCTTCACCTTGGAACCGTAGTTGGCACAAAGCTCCACATTGCCAGCCTTCCTCTCCTGGGACACTGCCGAGCCCTCTTCTGGCAGCTGCGTGTGGATGGCATGCAGAGCCCTCACCAGTCGCCGCATCCACTCTGGCAAAAGCAAACGTGCCGTAACGAGATGGGAGAAAGTAACCCCAGGAACTTTTGTCATGGTGATGCTCGAAACAGCATCACTGCAGGAAGCATCGCCTTCTTCGATTTCGATCAACTCTGGAAAATAGGATGCAAGGCTTGAAGGAATCGATCTGTACCAGTGGCATTCGCCTTTCAGGACGTCAACCTTCGAAGACTTGATCACGTGTGATTTGCCTGCAGATCGCACCATGTTGAAGGACCGCGCATCAATGGCGCCATCCAGAGCACCTTGTGCACCTCGCGCACCCTGTCGTCCACTGGAAACAAGATACCAGCCAAGGTCTCGATTGAGGTCCCCTTGCGAGTTGATGGCATGTGCATCAACATATACATCTGCATGGGGCTTGCCAAAGTGCAGCTCGTCGTATGGTATGGCAAACTCCTCCAGCAATTTGAAGGTCTCATACCCCTGTTCTGCAACCGCACGATCAACACCACCACCAAACGGCATTCCTCGCGAAGTGGTGATGATGATGGTATGCCCGGCTGCGTGAAGCTGGCGCAACAAATCTACTGCCGATCCCAGCAACTGACATGGCATGGTTTTGTCCGGGGAAGGAGAAACAAGCGTCCCGTCAAGGTCGAAACAGAAACGCATCTTCTTGGCCATCGGAACTTGGCCAGAAGAGACCTTGCCTATAAAGGCCTGCAGCTGCGCGAGGGTGGACACGATCGCGACATCGTTGTAGAGAACCGGAATTCCTCGAAACTCCATGCCGTGCCCAATCATCCAGGACATGAGACTTGAGGCATAGAGACCACCCTTGGCCGCCTCTTCAGGATGCTCCAGTAAAGCCTCAGCTGCTGATCGAAAATCAGAGGCACAGCCAAAGATGTATGTGCCGCAATTTGCCTGCGAAGAGATGACGGACTTCTCCTTCACCTCTAGTATCTTTCCACTCTCCGAGAGCTTGATGTAAGAGAATGTCGCACGCTGGACACTCGTCCCAGAAACGGGTGCTCTATCCAAATCGAAATACACTGAGGCATGTCCAGCTGAATGAGCCCGGCATAGATGCAGGATATCGACACCATGATATATGGTAGAACAATCAAGAGTGACCAGGCAGTTCCTGCTCTCTTTGGCAGACATCTGTCTGGTGACGGATAAAACAGTCTCCAACCAGCCACGTGTTTCAAAAGGTATGACTACAATTCTGAGATCAATATGCGGAAGATGGCGTTGCACAATTCGCTCCAGGTCGAACTGCCGGGTAATCGCAGCTGGAACGGCCAGGAAAACGGAATCACTAGGACGAAGGCTCAGATGGTCCAATACCCAGAGCAACACCGGTCGCCCTACAATATTTACCAATGGTTTTGGCATGCGAAAGCCGGCCTCAGCAAATTCGGTGCCAAGGCCTCCCATGGGTATGATTATCGACAGTGTCTTGTTGAGGTCGTCTTGCGAAGGTCCTCGCTCCACATGGGCTGGGGAGTTTGGCCGTGTGATGGCCTGCAAACGGCGCTTCAGGGCAAGGAGCTCACCCTCCTTCTGCTGGATTTCAGTGCGAAGGCACTCCAGATCCGGCCATGGCGTGATGTCTTCGCTTAGGGGGACTGGGGCCACCATTGGCTCACTGCCACCAGCTCTTGACATTCAGTGTGCTGCACAGCGCCTGTCACCCAAGCATGCTTGCTGTTTGCTCTTCAGTCTCTTCAGCGAAGCAGACTTAGATCACGACTGGCCTTCCTGCAAGGCATGTATGGACTTGCACAGCATGAAAGAAGAAACGTGCAGCCTAATCAGCAAGCAAAGCTTCACTCGATGTGCTCCGAGCAGTTTGTCCCGACGCATCAGAAGCAAGTCTTTAACTTACATGTGGCTTGCGGCAATGCTCGGCATGTCAAAGCTGCATGCAGCTCAGTCAAAAAGCTGCAGCTCTAGCTACCATCCGGCTTTGCGGGAAGCCATATGTACAGAACGCACAGCCGCCCCAAGGCGCCGACATCTGCCTCTGTGCGACTTTCTAGACCCACTGCAAGGATTAACGGCTTGTGCCCTCCAACGTGTCTGCAATTGTTTGGCCGACGCTGCCACGCAAAGCGAAGCCTGCCAGACATAGGCGACAAAAACCTGTGTGAAGGGTGCTCCTGCAGCTAGACTCAAGTGCAGCATGACTTGTGATAAGGGCAGCACCTGACCCCAGCGAGATCCCAGCCACTTGGCCACGCAGCAAGCTCTGCGCAAGACTAGGAGAGAAGGGTAGAAGCCCGGCCAACTTTTCTGCAGCATGTCATTCGTTCTGTCATAAGACCATGCCTCGCGGACCCCTTAATTTACGTCTGGCCCACTAAGTTTTGACTTCCCTGCATCGTCGTCGACAAGAGCAACAACTTCATGTCTGAACAAGCCAAGCATATAAAAACCGGGAAGTCATGCTCACTGGGAAGACGAAAGATTCTGTGAGACAGCTGCGCAGGGAGCCGAGCGCTGTTCAAATGCAGCCTCCAGGTGACGGAGTTGAGTCTGCAGAGAAGTCAAACTTAATGATCTTTCCGTGCAAGATGCGTGTCTGGCGGGTGCGCGCCCGCGCGCGTCTGTGGGTGTGTGTGTGTGTGTGTGTGTGTGTGTGAACCCCTACCTTCTTGCAGACGAGTGTCCACTCCGTGTTTCCGGCTAAGATGCCGTTGGCATGATGACTCTGCAAACAGCCCACCAGCAGCCCACAGCGCACTGGATGGGTCGCAAGGCAGGCTGCGGAAAATAACATCACACCAGCAGCCAGATGCCCGGCCAATGTACCGGACGATAAGCTCGAGCTGCAAAGGATGCAGCTTCTTTGTACACACAGCCTCCTTCATGCATCGACGTTACAAGCCTCCAGGAAAACTCGAGTATGTAAGCCACCCATATCATCATAGCTGGAGGAGGAGTCTAAACCCATGAGGCCCGACAAGAGGACCTGGCAATGCGCTGGACTTGCATGCTTGTGCCAACAGAACCTGCGTTCCTCACATTGCAACCTGAACCTGTGTTCCTGCTAGCCTTTGCCATTGTGGTTAGGTTCGAGTTGGTCCCATCACCAGGCACAAACACAACAAAAGAGCAGCTCTGTGTGCTCTCCAGCATGGAACAATGGGTTGAAAGGTGAAGGGCGCCAGGGCGCAAGGTGGTGCAACGTGACACCCCAGGGCCAGCTTGAAATTTGCGCTCACTTTAAAAATAGGAGCCAAGCGCTGGCTGGGGCCAACTTGTCACAACACCCGAAAGGATGAAGAGCTAAATCTGAAGTGCGCTGTACGTTGCACCAAGTGTCACTCAAAAACAAAGGTTTGAAGTGAAAACGGACAGCGTTAACCAGCACGTGTTGCAAGATGTGTCGGGCATGCAAAACACGCATAGGGCATAGTTTGGTCGCCATTAAACGGCCGTTCTATCTGCAAGGTCCCGGGCAGGCAAGGCAAGGCCCATTGCACTTGCCACAGAACCGCAGTCCGAATTTCGAGGCGCAGTGCTCTTGCAAGGCGCAACCGGACAAGGTGCTGACCGGACGCCCAACTCTTGCAGAATGACCTACTGCGACCCACGACGATACATCAATCAGCATCGATGCTGCTAGTAAGGAGATGGCTAGCAATTTGTATTTGGTTAACGCTTCAAATCCAAGAGGAGCTGCCGACCTCACTTCTTGCTGCCGGCAGTGAAGCTTGCGAAGCTGAGTTCCACCGTTTGCGCGGGCTCTGGACGGTTTGAACGGTCTGGTCGCTCTGATGATGGAAATGAGCAGGCAGTGTCACGAAAGCGAGCACAGGCTCTGGGCGTCATTCCCAACTTCAAGTTGATGGCATCGAAGAGGCGCGAGACTTCTGGATCCTTGATGAATTTCGAGCAGTGGCTGACCATATCAAGCACACCAGCTCGGGATCCTTGAAAACCATACTGGGGCAAAATGCGGCGCTGTACTGGCAGGGCCAGCTCGGCTCGACCCTTTAAGTGGTAGTATCCTTCACATGCCTGCTCCACATCGGCACTGCGCTTCAGACCAGAAATCGCATTCTGAAAGCTGGGGCTACCTGCCAGGGCAAGCAAGAATGAACGCGTTGTGCTCCGAAGGTTCCGAAGGTACATGTATTCCGAATTCCTTGCTTACCTTCGAACCTCGGTTTCAACAGAAGCATCCGCTTAGCTTCTACTGTACCAGCTGCTCACATTATTCCGGGGCACTGAACGCAGCCAGCTGCTTGCGCAACAATTTTGCAACCTCAGTCGGTCAAGACAGGCCCGCGCCACCACTGTCACAGGGCTTGACTACCATATAACTTCATCCCTACTGCGCGTCATGCCACTCTACTCAACTCCATTTCACAGCACTGCCACTTGACATACGTAGCATCATGCCATCCCTCTCCACTTATATCCACTTCACATTCGGGGCTTTCGAGGGCCTTTCCCCGCCTTCCCGGGGTGCAATGTGCGCCAGGGCGTGCTGTTCACCGGGACGTTTATCACAAGCGGCAATTTGGGCCGGGCAACTGGGACATCAAATGGCCCTTGACTCACAAAACGAATGGAAAGGGAGGCACGGCACAGCGAATGAGGCACCCGTTTTCTGTCATACGTGACGAGAAGGCAGGGGTCTTTGTTGGTTTGGCCTGTTGTTGGTGCATTGTGCTCACACCCAAATGCATCAAAAATCTGAGGCAAAAGGCAGGCAGGGAAAGACGACCTCCCGGCTGGCTCGGTTTTGGTCTCAGGCGCACTGGCTGGGCTGGTCAGGCGCCTCGCGTTTCTGTGTTTATGAAATGAGTGTGGCAGCTTGCAGGGCTCCGGCAGAGGTTGGGCCTTAGGGTTTTGAGGCATCTTTGGAGAGTGGGCATGGCTCCTTGGGGGCAGAGAAAGTCTTTGCCCCCAATCTTCTGAGAGGCGATCACCGCTTGGGGCGACGGCATGCCAGGACGAGCAGTCGATACCACAGGAGCACCGGTAAGCGGGGACAAGCACGACTCTCTTTTGGCAGGCGGGGCCACAAATATTTTTAGAGGGGTTCGACACGGGATGCCTCCTTGAGCCCAGGATTTCATTAGAATGAACAAAAGAAATTCTTGCGGCCTGAGGGTCGGTTCGGACGGTGAGATGCTCTGGGGATGTACATGGACTCGCAAAGCTCGCAAAAAGATCATCCTGCAATATCCGACCCCTCAACATCTACCGGCCATCCCTCCTTCAGGAACCCCACAGACCTCTCCATCCCCCCCCATCCCTCCCCCAAGAACCACCCAACTTGGCCACAGACCTCTCCATCCCCCCCCCCCCCAGCTCCCCAACTTGGCCACAGATGCGTCAACTAAATTTAGCTGACGAATTTGGTGCCAATTGAAGGCCGCGCTTACTTTGACACCCGGGCCAACGGCTGCCAGTGTTCAAACAAATGAAGTGTGGTTTACATGGTCAGATGTGTTAAGGCTTATGACGGTCTTGCAGATGTCCTAGATTGCCAGCAATGTATCCCTCGATCTCCACCCAAAAAACACACAGCGGACCCTAGTTCTTCCCCAGCGACTTGGAAGCACCACCCGATCTCAGATCCTATATACCCAACAGAACCTGAATAAACCTGTGGGCCTGAGCAATTCTGACAAGCAGACAAATTACAGGCTGAAACAACCACTGCCACAAACTTGAACTCAAACAGATTTATCTCTTGGTGGAAGTTCTCTTGGTGGAAGTTGGGTTTCACATTCAAGCAGCTGGAATACAAATTCAGATGTTCAGACCTTCACTCAAGCCATCAGAGGCCATCGGATAAAAACTGGATGAAAATATGTAGAGCTTTCGACCTCAAACAAAGCTCAGGATTTAATGTGCGTTGGCTTTTTGCTGTGCGTTCGCTCGTGTCTATAAGGGTCCGACACCTGAGAAGGCGCCACGCGACCCGAAAGCAAAAAAAACACGGCCGGCAGAGTCAAGCGCGGTCTTTTCGCTGCGCGGTCGCTCGTCCGAAAAGGCACCGAAGAAGGTGCCACCCAACCCCAGAGCAAGAACACATGCCCGGAAGAGTCAAGCGCGGTCTTTTTGCTGTGCGGTCGCTCGTCCGCAAAAACACCTGAGAAGGCGCCGCGCGACGGCAGAGCAAGAGAAAAAGATCCGGCAAGGTCGCGCTTTTCTGTTCTCGCTCTGCGGTCGCTCGTGTCTGTAAGGTGTCCGAATGCGACCTGAGAGGAAAAGGAACATGCCCGGATATGCCCAGCATAGGGTTTAGCTCGTTCATTTTTGCTGGAAAAGGCTCTGTCTATGTGTCTGTGTCCTTGCATGCGAACGCGCGTGCAAGTGTCTGCACGGGTGAGTTTGGACGCGCACGCACGCGCGTGCTCATCTGCATGCGCATGCGCAGGAATGTGCAATTGTATATCTTCTTGTGTATATATGAGTGAGTGAGTGAGTGAGGCAAAATGAAAAGGCGGGGGGCGGGTGGGGGGGCTCCTCGGACTCCACTCGCTTCACGCAACACAGATGTCAAAAGCAGGGACCGCCGACCGACCATGGCTAACATTCAGCCATCCCCACCACCAGGCACCCAACTGCCAGTATGCCCCCAAGGTGGAAAGGGCGCCTACTTGTGTATATATAAGTATAAATATAAATATGAATATAAATACAAATATGAACATAAACATGACTATAAACATAAATATAAACATAAACATAAACATAAAAAAGATAAAGATAAAGAGAAAGAAAAAATACATATACATAGACATATACATATAAACACAAATACAAATACAAATGCAAATACAAATGCAAATACACATATACATTTAAATATAAACAAACATGTACATATTAATAAATATAAAGAAAATTATGAAAATAAAAATAAAAATGTAAATATAAATATATGTATAAATATAGACATAAATATGAATATGAATATAAATATGCATATAAATATAACTATAAATACAAATATGAACGTAAATATATGTATATATATAAGTACAATGATACATATAAATATACATATAAAAGATAGTATAAATATACATATAAATATAAATATACGTATAAACATAAATATACATATACATGTACATATACATATACATAAATAAATAAAAAAAAAAAGTAAGTATAAATATAAATATACATATAAATACACATTTACATATAAATATAAATACCAATATCAATATCAATACAAGTAGAAATGAAGACATAAACATACATACACATGTACATATGAATATGCATATACATATCAATAGAAATGAGAATAGAAATAGAAATATAAAAAGAAATATATATATATATAGAAATAGAAATAGCAATTTAAACATGAATATAAATAGGCATATAAATAGAAATATCAGTATTAATATAAACAAAACAATAAATTTAGATATAAATGTAGATTTAAATATAGATATACATATAGATATAAATATATATATATATATATGATAAATATATGTATCTATATATATTAACATAAATATACATGTACATGTTTTTGTATAAACAGAAATGCGTTACTTTTTCCTGCAATTTTCAATTGCACATGCATATCAAAGCTCCTGTCCCTACCCAAGGCGTGCACTTCCTTTTGTGAGACACACTCTCCTCCAGTACTTGAGCATGAACCGACTCTTGGTGGCATATTTGCAGCTTGCACAGGATGCGATGGCGGTGTCAACTGATCAGCGTTGCAAGCTACAAGGTCGCCAGGTCACAAAGCAGGAATTACATTCACCAGTTAGAACAGTAGACTGCCCATGATGCTGACAAGCAGCTGTGAAAGCCGTAGTGGGCTTAGATCCTGTTCGGCCAAGCACCGCCTGATGCAAATGAGTGTGGCTGCTACTAATGCCCGTGGAGGGTGGAGGGCTTCAAGAGAGAAGAGATAAGAGAGACTGTGTGGGCAAATCAGCAAGAGAAGGGTGCCAAACGTGCATGAATGGCTGGGCTGGGTTTTGGTTCGATTGGGATGGGTGCCCAGGAGGGCGCGAGATGACATGGCGACGCCTGCGCTCAAAGCAGCTCGCAGACAGGCTGGTTGGTTCTTGCAGGAGGGTGCTCCCGAAGCAGTTTTACAATGACTATAAGCATTGTCTGTGCAAAACTCCGACGGTCAGCAGCTGTAGATTGCGTGAAGCCTTGTTGCTTAACTGGGCCGGCGGAATCGAATGTTGGGTTCAGTTGGTTGGCTTTGGCCTGGTCTGGCAGCGCAAGCACGTTCAAACAACTCGAACCGTTGACAATAAGCAGACACCGCGTGCCTTGTCCATCACGAAAGGTCGGCTGGTTTGAGCATACGGGAAGAGTGCCTCTTCGATGGCCACGGCATTGACAAATATGTCAGGATCCTTGTACCATAGAGCACAGGCAAGCACGCGTGCGCACACATGCACATGCACATGCACACGTGCACACACGCTCACTGACACTTCGAAGGTCGGCGTTGGAGGGGTTCAGGGGTTGAGGGTTGAAGGGTTTGGCTCCCCGCTCCGGACTCATCCGGGCACCCGAATCAATACACTTGTGTACTCAAGTGCGTTAGGGCAGCTCGTGGGCTACTACTCCCTTTAAAATTTGTTTGAGGCCTGTTTCGTAACCAAAAAAAAATCATGTAAAGCGCTCCAGAAAATTCTGGAATCTTTTCACAAGGGGCTCTCGACGGCTGCCCTCAAATTCCAGAATCTGAAGCTGGAATCTGGCTGAAGCTTGAGAGTCTAACGTTTCCAGACCTTCCTAATGATCTCTCTCATGTTTTATTGGTTTTTCTTCAGGAAAGAACTTCGCATAATTGCGGGAAGCCCAAATCAATAGGGGTGCCTCGAACGATATTTCGAGAACTCGCCCGCTAGCAGGTAGCGATACTAAAGCGAGGGCAACATTCATGAGCACAGGCAGAAACGGCAGAAGAAGCATGTAGGCGTCATCCCAAGTCCTGTGTGCACAACAGGTAGCAAATTACGGCACACACACACACACACGCACACGTTCGCTGCCAAGCCGCATTGTCAAACTGCTGCATGTCCTCCTCCAGGTCCTCAACACGTGCTCTGGAAGTGAGCATTTGTGAAGCTCCACCGACTCAACGAGCTCCTTGAGGCCCTTTGGGGATGCCTCGTACCCGTACCTGCAAAAGCCAGCACACGACTAGCGCAGACAGGTTGGGTGCTGAAAGTCGACACGGCTCACCGTGGCACGATCTCGAGCTTCGTCTTTTCCATCATTGCATCCAGCTCTGCCTCACATGTTGGCAGCTGGGCACAGGAATTTACATTGCATTGTTTCTCTTATTGTTTCTGACTCAGCTTACTCGACCAGGTCGCTTTGCAGGCTTCGTCGTGCAAGTTTGCGACATGCCTTCTTGAAATCTCGCCCAACTTTTTCTGGAAAGAAGGTGCGGAGAATGCAGCAAGGATCTCCGCTTGCAAAGCCAAGGCTCTTGCCTTCGACGGAACCCTCTTTGCTGGCAGCGATGAACCTGAAATTTCTTGGGGCTCTTCAACCTTAGTAAAGAGTTCCGTTACCGAAGACTTCAAGGCCAAGAGCTTCCAGAGCTTCTGCACTTTTTCCTCAAGGTCTGGAAACTTCTTGGAGATCAATACGATGGGCCGGAGGCGCTCCACACCAGTTCCGGACTTGAAGCCGTATCGAGCAAAAATGTCGGCGTGGCACTCCTCGGCTAATGCCCAGCGGCCTGGCGATTCGTCGCAAACTTCGCCATGCTGGGCTTCCTTCTGCAAGAGGTCACCCAACTTGCTCTGGAAGCTCTTGGCAGAGTACTCACCAAGCAGCTCCATGAGCATTGCCTTCGCTCGAGCCTGCGTCATATTCAGCACTTGCGCATCTGTGCCTCGGCATTCAGCCATGGCGCTGTGCTGAAGGTTACTGTATCCGGGCTTTCTTGATTTCTAACAGCCCTTAGCTGAAAACCGAAAAGCAGCGGGGCAACGCCGAAAGGCAGAATAGGTGATGAGGCATTCGAGGTGACGCTACAAAAGGTTACGACAAGGTGGGTTACAACAACACCTCGGGTCTGCAGTGGCAGCGCAACCTCAAGGCAAATCAAAGTTGCTTTCACACTTGCCTTGCGACACTCTATTGCAGGCAACCGTACAAAGAACAAGTCTCCAGTTCAAGGCCGACATCTGGAAGATCCAGGGTAAGAGTGTTTTTTGTTGCGGATGTTTTTTGTTGCGGGCTTTTGTTGTTGCAGGTGCGGGGCGCACTTTTTTTGCTGTGGGTGCGGGGGCGCGTTTCTGTTTTTCTGCGGGCGCGGGGGCGCTTTTGATTTTTGCTGCGTGTGCGGTGGGGGCGCGTTTTTGTTTTATACTTTTTCTGCAAGTGCGGGGGCGCTTCTTTGCTGCTTTCTCTATATTTTAATATGAGAACCTCCATTTTCTCTGTATGCTAATAGCAAAACCTCTTTCTTCTCTATATTTGAATATGAAAACCTCTGTTTTCTCTACATTTACTATGGAAGCCTCTCTTTTTGTAATCTCTCTATACTTTAATGCGAAAACCTCTATTCTCCATATTGTATAACGGAAAAAACTCTATGTCTCTCTATTTTGTCTATATTTTCAAAGTTCTCCACTATATTTAAGGAGGAGGACGCGAGAGAGGAATACATGAGAAACTAATTCTCTGTGTTATCTCAGTATGTGGCTTGCAATTAAAAGTATTATTTGTTCCTCTTGTCCTATTTTACTAGGAAAACCATCATTTTCTCTATCTTCATAGGAAAACCTCCATTTTCTCAAAATTTGAACATGAAAACCTCGCTCTTTTCTCTATACTTAACAGCAAAACCTCTTTTTTTGCATATTTTGGTATGAAAACCTTTCTTTTCTTGTTATCTTAATCGGAAACCCTCTATTTTCTCTATATTTGAATACCAAGACCTCTATATGTTAGTATGAAAACCCTCTATATTGAAACCTCCATTTCCTCTTATGTTGTCATAGGAAAACCTTTAAGACCTCCATATTTTATACCGAGAACCTCTATTTTCCTATAGTTTACTATTTTGTCAATACTTTCAGACCTCTTGTCTATGGAAGACATGAAAGAGGAATACATGAAAAGCTTATTCTCTACATTTTCATAAGAGTAAATGCACTACTCTATCTGTGACTCGCAGACGACAGGTGTTTTTGTTCATGTTTGCCATATTCTCATAGCACAAGCTCTATTTTCGATTCTTTCCTAAGAAGACGTTTAAATCTCCATTTTTAATCGGAAAATTCATCTTCCACTGTAAGTTTTGAATTTTCGTAGGTAAGCAATCACATATCCCTCTGTTTTTCAGAGAGGGTTGGGGCTGCGCAGCCCCCCACTTTTGCAAACACAAAGCTCGCATCATGGGTTTGGAAGGGATCCGTATGCTTTGAAGCAAGCCTGCCCGGCTAGAAAAAGCGGGGGGGGTTGGGGGGGCGCAGCCCCCCTGCAAGTGGCAAACACAATGCTCACATCATGGGTTTGGAAGGGATTCGTATGCTTTGAAGCAGGCTTGCCCGGCTAAAAACAACCGTGGGGGTTGCGGGTGGCGCAGCCCCCCCCCCCCCATTTGCAAACACAATGCTCGCATCATCATGGGTTTGGAAGGGATTCGTATGATTGAAGCAAGTTTGCCCGGCTTAACAAAGCGCATGATGGGTTCGGAAAGGATTCATATGCGTTGAAGCAAGCTGGCATGGCTTTAAGAAGTGGGGAGGGTTGGGAGGTTTGCGCAGCCCCCGCCCCCCCATTTGCCAACCCGATGCTCGCATGATAGGCTTGGACAGGATTCATAGCTCTGGGACGGTTTAAAAGAACGGGGGGGCTGGGCGAGGGGCAGCCCTCCCTCCGCCGTTTGCAAACACAGTGCTCGCGTGATGGGCTTGGGAAGGATTCAATGCTTTGAAAACGCTTGCACAATTTACAAAAAGGGGGGTGTTGGGGGGGGGGGTGTGTGGAGGAAATTGCAAAACAAATGACCTGGGGGTGGGGAGGAAAGGGGGGGGGGGGGGGGGGGTTTGTTTTTGCTGCGGGTGCGGGGGCGCGTTTCGCTTTTTGCGGCGGGTGTGGGGGCGCCTGTTTTTTTGCTGCGGGTGCGGGGGCGCCTCTTTTTTTGCTGCGGGTGCGAGCCGGGGCGGCCCCCGAAAAAAACACCCGCAGTAGAAAAAAACACCCACAACAAAAACAAACAAACACGGGCTCCGCAGATCCAGGATTAGCTATCGAGGAAGAAATAACACAAATTCTCCTTGTTGGTTGGCGCCATGACTGGGCGCTCCTCAAAGCAAAGCATGAAGATTGCTCTTCAAGTGCTCACCACATCTCTTCGCTTAGCTTGTGGCTGCAAAAAGACACCTCTTCTCGTATTGCATTCAGACATGAGGGCAGCACCCTGACGACCACTTCTGGCGCACGCTACGTTTCAAGAACTGGTGGACTTGGGCCACAAAATAACAACAAATCACGACTGCCACCATGTTCGAAACACAAACCAACACACCTCGAAGCGCGCCACGAGTCTTCGCCTGCTGGACGAAGTCAAGCGATGAGGTCCGCCCATAGGCAGGTGTAAACATAGGAGGCATGGCCTGAACGCACTAATGCTGCACTAATGCTGCAACCGGTGACCTTTCGTTGGCCAAGCTTGCTGTGCCGCTAAGCGGCTCCCCAAGGTCCACAACTCATGTCCACGCTGCAGGCTTTGAACAGGACGACCTAACGCTGGAATCAACTAGAATCGGTTGCAATGTGTACCCTTCAGGCTCATGTTGAAGGGTGCGGCAATCCCAAGGGCGCAGTACACGGCGATCCTGTCACTGCAAGAGCATGCAAGATCTGCATATCTGCATGCCGTGATTCCAACGGCCAGGCTAGCCGTGGATACGGAACCACTTCCTGAGAAATAACGCTCGGTTGTGCCACAGGTTGTAGTGGCCAGTTTGGTGCACTGCGAGTGTGCACTGTCACCGAAATCAGAGACGACAGATTCCAGCACTCACTGCCGTGTGCTGACTGTCACTTAAGCTCGTTTGTGTTGCCGAGCGTCGCATTCCGAACTCTCGGCTTCAAAGCACCTGCAAAATTCGAGGCAAGCAGCCTGCACCCTCGGATCTCTTTCTGGCTACCTCATGCTACACAGCTTTGGGCGGCACATGGGCGAGATTGGTCCGTTCAGCGTAGTCCCTTGCAGCGGACATGTAAGATTCGCTTTGCAGCTTCGTCTAGGCGGCAATGCGAACTGAAAGCCTGATACATCTGTCACAGTAAGCCTGCTGCGGGCTAGTAAAGGAGCTACTGTTAACCTCACGGAGAAGGCCAGAAACAACTGCATGAAACCTCCGTCGCTGCCCTGATAAGGTGCACGCACAAGCACGATCAGCCAGAACACAATCGTACCAGCTTTGGTGGAATTTTGTTCCTGAGCAATTGCATGCTGCCTGCTTCAACAAAACTCAATCGACAGAGTAAGGGGGGCACGGTTGCCCTTGCCTTTCGCTCTATGCGCCAGGCCTTATTTGATTGGAACTTCTCTATTTCGCAGATGCCTTGATAAGCCCGTAAAAACGGAGCCCTTTCTTCAAGCTCCCAGCTGCTAGGTTCGTTTGCGCCTCGAGCCGCTCGCGCACCTCGACAGAAGTGTAAGCACGTGGCCTTCGCAAGCTGCAACATTGCCCTTTGCCTCTCCTACAGTGGGGCGGCTCTCCCAAGGAGACTCAAAGGGTATGATGGCATCGTACCATCTCCTCATAGGAACTACGAGGTCCAAGGAGATCAGAGTTGCTTGACAGATGCATCTGACGCGCGGGCCAACAACCCCTAACAACCGAAGACTTCCAGGCACGTGACCTAATGCCTGGCGGGTCTGTGGGGATCGGGGCTGGGGACGTCTATGGACGTCTGTCATTCTTAAAGTGGTTGTCGAGCCAGCAGCCAACACGCTCTTGGCGGACTACAAACTTGCAAACTTGTGTGGCTCTCGATGCTTGAACTTCTTCGCTACTTGCAAATATGAAACATTCTGCCCTTGTCTCCCATCCCGCACAATGACCTGCTTGCCATGCTCTTCGTGCGCAAGCGTATGTCCATACGTGTCCTTGGGTACCGCTGCTTCAAGGTTGCATCGTTTCCTGGCATCTTGCTGAAGGCTCGAATCAAAGAGGCCTTGCTAACATGCCTGCATATGCTGCTGAGCGGGGCCTGCATCGTCTTCCTTTCTGTTGGCCTTCTGCCGCTGCATTTCTTGAAGGCCTCAAAATGAAGACACACACATGCTGAGTCAACATGAGAGGCTTCTCCAGCGCAGGTTCCCAGCGCGTGCTCATCACATATGTGCTGACAACCCTTTCCTTGGTCTGGCAACAATGTCATCATGCAGGCTGTCCCAATGTGTCATGTGCCGTACAAACCGGTTTCTGCAGGAGCATGCGAGAGCACTGCCAAGCTTCGAAAACAGAACCATCAGAATTGGGACTTCAAAAAACAAAACGAACAGCCAAACTCGGAAAACTGGTGGCTTGTTACGAAGCGCGCTGCGCGATTCAGCTAAACTGCGTGGATGGGTAGAGTATGCAGATTCCAGAAGCAATTGCTATCTCTCTCCCTGATGCCCGATCGGAATTTCTAGGCAATTCGTATCGGAAATAACATATCGCCTGCGTCTCAAGTCTTGCGATCGTGGCCAAATGGCGGTCTCTTCCACCCGACGACACTCGCTGACCATCTTGCTTTGTCATGCATTGTCCCTCATGAAGGGTCCGCCGAAAACTTTTCTACTTCAATCATCCTCACGCCTACAGCTACCCGATGTGGGAACCATCTTGCCCCGTTTTCGGAGAGGAAATCAGGGATACTCCACTCTCCGCAGAACTCTCCCAGGATCGCGCTCTAAAGATACTCGGCGGGACTCTTCCAGGCTTGTCTGGAGTTGGGTAGTAGTTGGGTACTCCAAGGATAGGGCGCTCCACAGGTCTCTGCAAACACTCTCTATGCGGGTCTGCGGGCTTGGGCCACTCGGCGGGATTCTTCGTGAGCTTCTCCGAAGACAGGCACTACAGCGATACTCGGCAGGATGATGTTCTGCCCGTGCCATAGGTTCGGAACACCCCGACTTATGAAGACTTCCCAACTGCGCAGACAGCTCGTCTTGCATGTGAGCGATTGAATGGCTAAATCTATTGCTTCTCGCACTGGGACATCGGCTCGCTGAAGCCGGACCTGGGCAACACCAAAGCATTTGTGGTTGCAGGATGGCGCAAAGTTGAATCGAAGACCTGCCGAATGCATCCAAGATGCCAAATCAGAAGCAACCGCGCTGTCTTGCTCGACTTGCTCGCTTTCAATCAGACTTAGCTGCCTTGGTTTGCTTTTGGCAAGCCTCGCTGAACCGCTGTACTGAAACTGAAGCCCACTGAGAATCATGCGCCTTCTCCTGTTCTTCTGCCTGAGGTGGAAGGTCGGAATTTGTGTGCGAACCATCAAGCCATACAAACCCATGCTCAGGGCAGCACAACCTTCTTGTAGACTTTCTCGGAGTCGTCATCCCTCACAGGTGTTCTAGACTTCTCGAGCAAAAACTTGGAGGGCTCCCCGCGGGGCCAAGGACCGGGCGTAGTGCCGAACACCTGAAGACAAGCACAGTGGCCAACGAGCAGGTCCGTTCAGGCACCTAGCTTTGCAGATAAGAAGGAACATAATCCGAGGCACAGGAGCACAGCCGGTCCGGTCTTTCGTCTGCATGTTCTCTGTGCCAGCCTTCGTTTAGCTGACAGATGAAAAGCACACAAGAATGGGAGGGCATGTGCACCCCAGTGGGTCAGCCCGGGGTGAAGTGAACACAACAGGGCGCTGCAACACTCAGCGGGGGACTGTCATGAAAGCTTGGCTACCTCCAAGCGTGCACCCACGTCTCTGCAACTCTCCACCGGCATGCATCGAAGCTCAAGTAAGGGAACTGCTCGATTGCGATGAGAGCGCCATCACGTGCTCTTCAGCCTGTCTGTTCACGTTCAACATCATTCCCACTTCTTTCGTGCTGTCTGACACATGCCTGCCTGGACTGTCTTGTTTGAATCCAAGTCGTTTCAACCTGGAACCACTCAGTTGCACGGGGCCTGCACATGTCTTGTGACGTGCAGTCAACACCACCAGCACTAAGTCCCTCACCCAATATGTGACAGCGACTGCCATGAACTACAATGCTGGCAGTCTGGCAGTCCGGTCCGAAAAGCACGAATCATGCATACAATGCCCTCCATCGGACACACCTCGATACCTGGAGTCATGCAGACAGATGGTCAATTAGCCAAATGAGCCAAGGCATTTTGCTTCAGAGCATCGTGGTGTTAGCACTACGATAGAAATGACATCGAAATCATAAGCGCAACTCGTTGCCTTTCTGCAATGAGGTTGCTTTAAACAGGTGGGGCATCAATAGCATCGCTGCCTGAGCATCAACATTACACTGCGCAAGAATTCAACCCGACTCATTCTGTTGGTGGCACAAAACCACGTTCTTTCAAGATGGTCTCTGCAACTGCAATGTCCTCAGGCGTGGTCACCTTGATGTTTGTATACTCGCCTTCTGTCAGCTTGACTTTCTCACCCAGTTGCTCGACCAATGACACATCATCAGTCACTTCCAAACCCTCTTTCTCGGCCTTCTCGAAACCTTTGCGCAACAACTCGCTTTGAATGACTTGCGGCGTGTGCGCTTCCCATAGAAGTTTCCGTTGAGGAGTCCCCTCAACAAATGCCTTTGACTCGCTGACTGCCTGTTTGATTGTGGCTTTGGTCCGAACAGCAAGTAAGGCCGCACCATGTTCCCGGGCATCTGCCACCACTTTCTCCACCTCATCCTTCGTGACGAGTGGCCGGGCTGCATCATGTATGGCTACGATGGGGGCCTGGATCTTGGCAAGACCGTTGTTTACTGAATCTTGTCGTTCGTCGCCACCTGTTGTGAATTTGACGTCAACTTCAACTGGACCTTTCTTCTTCAGATGGTCTTCGAACACAAACTTCCAATCTTCCGCACAAACAATCACAATTTCAGCAACATCGCAAGCCAAGAATGTGTCGAGTGAGTGCAAAGCAATTTCCAATCCCATCAATTTGATGTACTGCTTCGGTATGCTGGCACCCATGCGCTTGCCAACTCCCGCCGAAAGAAGCACCACACCAACATCACTGCCAGTCGCCAAACGGACTGTGTTTGAAGTTGGTCGCCCACCACATCGCAAACGGTGACTACCATGGTTGGACAGGCTGCGTCGGCAGCTCAATGCAGCAAACACACCACACATTGCAACGCCGCATGTGTTCCAGTCAGCCAGAGCCGTGTTGCGAACTGAAATCGTGCAGCCGTGCTTATGTACATGCGTGCTTGGCGCTGTGGCGTCAAGCTTGGCACAGCTGACAAACGACACATCCTTTGAAGGTCGAGCTCTGCTTCGTAGCAATATCCACAAGATGCATGGGCAAAGGCATAGCCAAACCGAACACTTCATGGCAGGCCAACTGAACCGCAATTGTCTACACAAGAATCAACCTGAAGCCAATCATGATGCAAACCAAGCAATTTGCTATTCATGCTGTTTGTTGTTGTGCATGCGCATGGCGTTCGCTGATTTTTAGCCGTACTTACAAAGTCCCCGGGTGGTGATCCTTAAAAAGTGTCGTCATATGGATTACGTGATGATGGATTTGATGGATTTCGTTGCGTGATTTCGTTGCGTGATGGATTTGGTGGTCTCGCCAGCTTGCACGACGTCGGTACAACTTCGCCTTGCAAATGTTGCGAATTCCCAATTGGGCTGCGGCTGTTGTCAAATGGTGTCCAGAAAGTAACTGGCAAGCAAGTTCTTTTGCGTTACGACTACATCGTCGACCCGGTCGCCCGCTAACGAAGTGGGATGATCGACTCCGCAGTTTTGCAGCCTGTAATTTTCCAGCGGTGAATACGTGGACTGATATTGTTGAAACAGCAAATTGGCCGCCCGCTGCAAGCCAGTACGTACAAAGCTTTGCGAATGTTCCGAATCGTGCCAACACTCAAGCACGCCCCCATTCCCCATGTCCTTATAGGACCGTGGTCCACTAGCAGCTCTTCTTTCACCTAACTTTTGGCTTTCTAAGGAGCGGGAAAATGCCATCCAAAAACCGGTTATTCCTGCGGGCGTCTCATGAACGAGGATACGAACGTAATCATAGAATTAGTTTTGAAACCCGTTATAATTCTCTTAAAACCTTTCTAGCAGTGAAAACGTGAACCCTAAAGATAATGAGTGTTGTCCGTTCGCTTGTTGGGTTTTTATTCGTGCGGCCTTGCATTCATTTTATTCATTGCAAAGCCGCATGAAAAGATCTCCCAAAATAGTACTTTAAAGGGGCCTTTTAATGCGCACGGAAGGAACGTACGAAATAAGGGCCTCTTTGATAATATAATCCTTTCTCTGGTTCGGTGGTTGGTTTCGTTCTCAAGTTCGCGCATTTATTAATAGAATTCGTGCAGCCGTTTCACTTGTTTACAATTCCATTATTAAATCGCTCACTTGTTCTCTTCACTGTTATCTTATTGTTTACACAGGACAGTCTGACGCTTGTAATGTTTCACGTGGGCCCGAACGGGCGAAAGCGAAAAGCGATGGATTTGGTGGGTTTCCCTTTTACTTGAATTTTTTTTGTTTCCCCGCAAACTCGTCCCGACGTGGTCCACTACATCACTACGCGCCAGCGCGTCACGGCTGCAGAGGCAGTCGGCTGGGCGCGGCCGCCTCAGCGAGGTCAAGGACATCGCCAAGCGGCAGGTCGTCCGGCGCGCCGGGGAGTGGTGGCATGGTCCAAACCCCGAGCACGGAACTTGCCACGGCACGCTGCAGAGCGACCGACAGGACGCCCCACCAGCGACGCGCCCATCCCTGCGTCGCCGACACCCTCAACGGGGCTGGCGCGCGCCGGGGCCTGAGGCGCAGGAGCTGACAGAGGAACTGATGGCACTCATCACTCCAGCGACCGCCAATTTCCGCAGCCAGGACGACCAGTTTCTGTGGGCCCCCCCGTGTGAGCTCGGGATAGCGCGCGGCCTTGCGCCGACGTGCTGCAGCGAGCGCAACCCCATCGCGGGCATCTGCGCCGGTGACCGGCGCGGGTCAAGGGAGAGACGAGCGTCGCGTCTGCGCACAGCGCCTCTCCATTCCTCGTCGCTCCGTAGACCACAAAGTCGAGGCGACGGCGGTCATCCGGCGGGACTTGTGGGGCTGGTGCGGGCAAGCCACTCAAGGACGAAGCCGCGGCGAGGCAGCAGCGCGGGGGCAGGCGAGGTAGTGGTCCCCAAGCCCATCGATCTCCCCCCGGCAGCCCGGGCGACCGTCCCCACCGCATTGCCTGTCTGTCAAAGGCAGGGGCAGCCGCAGGCGGCGCCGCAATGCCAAGTGCATAAGGTCAGGGCAAGGGTGGTTGCTGCGTTTGTGGGGATGGCTGAGAGCCACATGCCGGCCGCAGGGCCGGACTGGGATCGTAGGAGTGCTCGCGAAGCTGGAGGGATGGCAGGCAGCAGCTCACGCTCCCGAAAGAAAGTGTGAAGTGCGAGAGCAGCGTGCCGCTGCCAGCCAAAGCCTCCCAGCCCGAGCTCCCCTTGCGATGGTGGCACCGGTCGCCAGCGCACGCTTCCCAGCCGGGACGGTCTGCCCAACCCGCCTCATCGAGCCGCACCGCCGCGGCAGCGGCAGCCTGCAAGCACGGCGGACCCCGGCCTCGGTGAGGTCATGGAGCAAGCGGTCCGCAGCTTCCGGCTACCGCTGGCGCAGGACCGGGAGCGCGTCGGCCCATGCTGCCCAGTTTTTTTTTTTGCACGCCTCTTTTGCTGCATCCACTTCGCGGTCCCAGTGAAGTAGCCCACGGCCACGCACAGCCCACAAATACCTACGGCAGGCGACTGGCAAGGGGGGGCTGCTCGGCTGAGTCAGCAACGATGTCGCTGATGAGAGGCGATTCTCCATCAACGTTTGCTGTGCCGGAGATGGGAAGGGAAAGGAGGCTGGCTGCAAAAGAACGGGCGGCTGCAAAGGCGAGGAGTGCCGACCAGCGCAGCGCAAACGCGGAAGCGCACGCTGCCCGTGACGGCTCGGGCCCGGCATCGAGCAAGCAGCCTGACAAACAGGGCGGCCTGGCGGCTCCAGCGCCCGCCAACCTCAAGGCCGAGGACGACGAGCCGGCATCGGCGGCCGGACGCCAGCTCTGGGTAGGTCCGGGCTTTGGCACGTTCTGCAACACGCAAAGCTGCCCCGGCCGCGCGGCCTCCTTCATGACGTGGCACGCCTGCCGCAGTGAGCGGCGAGACGAGTGTACTGTCGCTTAAAGGGTTACATAAGGGTTACATAAAGGGTCACGTAAAGGGTTCCATAAGGGTTGCACAAGGGTTTGTGGAAGTTGTAGAAGTTGTTTAGGTTGCGGGTTTTTGACCGAACTCTTTTTGGAACTGAGGGTGGGGGGGGGGAGCGGCGGGCCGGCCTCACTTCCAATGCTGACGGGCCTGGGCAGCTGATGCTCATGATGCTCGCCGGCTTCGCTTCCAATGCTGACGGGCCTGGGCAGCTGATGCTCATGATGCTCGCCGGCTTCGCTTCCAATGCTGACGGGCCTGGGCAGCTGATGCTCATGATGCTCGCCGGCTTCGCTTCCAATGCTAACGGGCCTGGGCAGCTGATGCTCATGATGCTCGCCGGCTTCGCTTCCAATGCGGGCCTGGGCAGCTGATGCTCATGATGCTCGCCGGCTTCACTTCCAATGCTGACGGGCCTGGGCAGCTGATGCTCATGATGCTCGCCGGCTTCACTTCCAATGCTGACGGGCCTGGGCAGCTGATGCTCATGATGCTCGCCGGCTTCGCTTCCAATGCTGACGGGCCTGGGCAGCTGATGCTCATGATGCTCGCCGGCTTCACTTCCCATGTTGACGTGCCTGGGCAGCTGATGCTCATGCTGCTCGCCGGCTTCACTTCCAATGCTGACGGGCCTGGGCAGCTGATGCTCATGATGCTCGCCGGCTTCACTTCCAATGCTGACGGGCCTGGGCAGCTGATGCTCATGATGCTCGCCGGCTTCGCTTCCAATGCTGATGGGCCTGGGCAGCTGATGCTCATGATGCTCGCCGGCTTCGCTTCCAATGCTGACGGGCCTGGGCAGCTGATGCTCATGATGCTCGCCGGCTTCGCTTCCCATGCTGACGGGCCTGGGCAGCTGATGCTCATGATGCTCGCCGGCTTCGCTTCCAATGCTGACGGGCCTGGGCATTTTTGCTCATGATGCTCGCCGGCTTCACTTCCAATGCTGACTGGCCTGGGCAGCTGATGCTCATGATGCTCGCCGGCTTCACTTCCAATGCTGACGGGCCTGGGCAGCTGATGCTCATGATGCTCGCCGGCTTCACTTCCAATGCTGACGGGCCTGGGCAGCTGATGCTCATGATGCTCGCCGGCTTCGCTTCCAATGCTGACGGGCCTGGGCAGCTGATGCTCATGATGCTCGCCGGCTTCACTTCCCATGTTGACGTGCCTGGGCAGCTGATGCTCATGCTGCTCGCCGGCTTCACTTCCAATGCTGACGGGCCTGGGCAGCTGATGCTCATGATGCTCGCCGGCTTCACTTCCAATGCTGACGGGCCTGGGCAGCTGATGCTCATGATGCTCGCCGGCTTCACTTCCAATGCTGACAGGCCTGGGCAGCTGATGCTCATGATGCTCGCCGGCTTCACTTCCAATGCTGACGGGCCTGGGCAGCTGATGCTCATGATGCTCGCCGGCTTCGCTTCCAATGCCGACGGGCCTGGGCAGCTGATGCTCATGATGCTTGCCGGCTTCACTTCCCATGTTGACGGGCCTGGGCAGCTGATGCTCATGATGCTCGCCGGCTTCACTTCCAATGCTGACGGGCCTGGGCAGCTGATGCTACGGCAAGTTGGACGCCACCCCAGAGAGGCAAGCCATTGGCAATGACCTCGATGCGTCGTTCATCCGGGCGGACAGGGGCGACATTGAGGTCACGCACGAGGACATGCGTTGCAACAGTGGCGCCAGCCTCCCGACAAACTCTGGCAGCCGCTCGTTCAAGCGGGCCTCCACGTGAGCGCAAAACACCAGACCTGGGGCAGGCTGCAATGTGATCTTCGAAAAGATCAACCGGCACCTAGCTGCTGGGAGCGGCAAACGGAGCCGACGCAAAAACACACGGAACAACGGTGAGTTCAGGCGAAGTTGGCCGCGCAGCGTACGGCCCAACCTGGGAGTCAAGCAGGGCTGCAGAGGGGGCATCCAACAGACGGCTTGGGAGGCAGCGCTGCCACCCATGCGTGTTGTCGAGCTGCGGCTCATCGTCGCCAAGCACAGGCGGCGCCTCACCGTGCAGTAGGTCGTGCCAGGATGGGGATTCAAACCCTAGTGCAGCCAAAGAGTCGCAGGCAGCCCGCAGCGGCTCAAGTGCCTCTGGCACCTCGCCAAAGACTGGACAAACCC